AACAATAACTCATAACACCATGCATTCTCGTTCGAAGTTCAGACTAGTGAATTAGTTGTATCACCTTCAATGAAAGATGTTTCAGAATTTTCTGATGCTTTCTTTTATCCCTTGTTCATTTTGGTCATTGGAATTTCCTAACCTGATGGCCCTGGAGTTGATTTATAATCTTTTTGAAAATTTTTTTCTTACATTTCTTTCATCATCACCGTCGTGTTCCAAAAGAGTATCAGTATCTCCAAAATCATTCATTTTAAAATAAAATATCTATTATTTTAAAATGGAAGTCAGTGAAAAAAGACAACCCAAATTTCGAAAGTCAAGTTCAAGCTCTCAGAGTCCCAGTTCCAAAGTTTGATGGCGGAGTTGTCCATGTGCCAGGATCTCTTTAACTCATCTTTGACTTGGCAGTTAGTGTTCCCGCAAAACATTATATCGTGAAAACTGTCGCAAGAGGTCTTGTTGACAAGTTGACTGAGAAATTCGCCGGAGAAATCGCTCAGAACACTGATGGTTATGATCTGCTCAAGCTCCATGAGGACCTACTCTTGACTGCGGAGAATGACTGGGCAAGCATGTTCAGAGAAGGTTTTCAATCTGTTGATCTTTCGAAGATCAGATTCAATGCTGAAGATAAAGAAAAATCATGAGTTGACATGGAGAATAAGCTCAATGATGGTTATTGAAACAAATATGGGAAACAATTGGATCATGAGATTCTGAAGGATCATGGAGTATTATTTCCAAGAGTTCTTTCTGATGAGCTCCTTTTCGAGCTCAAGCTTGCACCTGCAAGCAATGTTGTGATAGGATGTGACGAAACACAGCTCGCCTATTAATTGACTAACATCGAGCTTGAGTATGAAGTCATTAACAGTCAAGAACTTGCTGATGAGGACTTTTCTAACTACAGAAATGGAAAGAGGTTCATGTACGAGCAAGTCACTCATCTCGAGACAAACTCAGTAGATAAGGGATTAGACACGACCATCAATGAGAGCATCAATGAAGGGACTTCTTCTGTTTACGAGCCGTATGTCGTTGGTGCAAGAGACAGTGAGAACGTTTAATCCGACATCACATCGGAATCCCAATGAGGTTTACAGTCAAGGAATGGAGACAAGAGATATGCAGGAAGAGGTCTTCAAAAGATTTGGAAAAGGAAAGAGCGCGATGAATGCAACAGACTTTTATGGTGGAGACAGACTCGCTTTTGTCATCGATCTCAGGAGTATATGAGACAATGATCTTCATAGAAAGTGGATTGAGATGGGTGAATACGAAAGAAGGAATTTCGCTTGCAATTAACAGACAGGTGTCAGGCTCAGGGAATATTGAATGTCACATCTTCATCCTCCCTGATGCTCGACTCAACATAATTAATCGTGAGATTAAAAGCGTTACTCATTAATGAGATAAATTCTCATTTACAAAGACACAATTTTGACAGAAGAACAAACCAAGGCACACCACGACTTCTTTGCGAGAAGATGCAATATCTTCTTTGAAAATCTTCAAACCAACAATCAACACCCCGATGGCGCGACAAGAGAATCGTTAATTGCTGTCAATTTTGAAAGAACTTTTTGATGTCAAATGCCTAACTAGTTCGTGCTCAATTATTAAAACGGGCGGTTTTAATTTCTAGTGATCGTTTATAAATAGTATTTATGTAGTGAAGGTTAAGCCTGCGAAGCTATTTTTACACACAAAAATTATATCATAAATTCTTTTCGTGTGATAATAAACATTTTTTAGACTTCCTTTTCCCATCCTCGCCCCCTAGTTTAAACAGGAATGTGCCAACAGACAAGTTATTCTTTAGACCCTTTCTTTTTATAGAACTGCGGTGAGAATACGCCTCAAGCATAATATAGACCATTGAGTCGTAAATCTAGCTATTGAATGGATGACCAGCTGAATAATTTTTATGCAGTCAATTAGCTGTTAAGGAACTACGCATTCCTAATTTGAGCCAGACCTTACACTGTTTTGACTGTTCGCTTTGTTCTTTTGGGCTGCCTAACCCCTTAAAGATTGCACAATATAAGATTTTTATCTAAAATTAATTCGCAGTTATTTGAGAGAAATCTGTAACTGCCGTGTTTGCATACACCGTGTTAGTAAGTTTTCCTGACGCTGTTACTATTGCGAGGATTCAATTCAAGAACACAATTGGCTACCAATCGTAAGTTGTCATTCTTTTTGGTATCGTGGGTGAATTTTTTGAAATTTCACTCTGATATACATATATTAAATGCATCTTCGTCGGTATCACGTATGAATAGATGAAATATACTCCCTGGCGTGAATTGAATTTTACGACATTCCTTGGCCCCCTAAACTCTCTCCACTAACAGTATCATGTGAATGAGCGAAATTGTCTAACTAAATGCTTACATGCCAAGCTTTTTCTACTAAAGCAGCGGTCGACAGCGTTTTTTTCTGGTTTCTTTCGATAAAAATTACGCGTTCAAAAGCGGATGTCAAGTCTAACCTTGCATCAACTCAGGGATGCGTGTTCCTGTGTGTTCCACTTTTCATTTTAGAATGTTTGTTGGTTCTTGTATTACTCAGGAGTGTCTTACAACTGGTGAAGAATGCCATAATGTCTGTTCAATCACCACGCTCTCAACATGTGCAATATTTCGTGATGTTACAAACAAACTTAAACGATAAAGGCTAATATCTATTTCAAATAGGTGAAAATTCCACCGTGGCCCTCCTACTAAATAAACTAACCCAAATAGGAAAACATTCAAAATTAATATCATGAATAGCTCTTGCTCATTTTAACTTCTCACAAGTTCCAGAACGACGAGAAATCGAATTCAGTGGATCTGTGAAGTCGCAACAACATTCGTGAGCTGGCTACATGAGCTGTGAAGAATCTCGTTAAAAATAGAGCTCATTAACATCTGACACACCACAGAAGATATCGATAACCTTTACTTCATTTGCTGAACTGTTGCATGTAAACCAGATCACCAGACCATATTTCATCAATATGATAAACAACACGCCGCCGAGTGAAGTTCAGCTTTATGGGTGAATGTAATTCCTCTCCTAATTGAAGGACTAAAGCTCGAACAGTCTTTTGTTTAGAATGGCTCTTGGGCTAAAATTCACATTGTCAACTCAGTTGATAAAAGCAAATATTAAAATAGCTTAATTAAAGCAAGAGCTCTAATGAGGCAAGAGGCACCAACGGCTACGAATATTACTGCTATGTTCACGAAATTAGCTGCTCTTTAGCAGTGGAAACAATTTAGGTAACTGTGGTACTTGAGTCAAAGTCAATGCTAGAAACTAGTAACAACGTGATACCTTTGGCATAATCAGTTTTGCCACGTGCAGGACAAGGACTCCTGATTGCAGAAACACTCTCCATGTTTTTCAAAGATTTATTTAATTTTATCGTTTGAAGAAATATCGACGAAATAAAGTAAACTTTAAAAAAAAAAGGATTGTTTTTCTGTTTGCAGCTATCGAGACATACCCTTAAGCGCTCCAAGTGATTATCAAGTATGCTAAATGAGAATTTATTCGAAAACAATGAATGAGTGAACCTCTTTCAAGCAACGAAATGAGTTTGGCATAATTAAACAATACACCCGCGCTAAGCATGAACCAATTGTTAAATATCACGATGGTTTACGTGGTATCATTATCATTATAAATGAGTCTTTGTTTGTTCTATCCTAGCTTTTAACATCAATCCGCTTTAACACTCCAGTCAGTTCAGCTTGGCCGGCGACGGAGTGAACTACAACAGACTACCTCAACTCATAATCCACTTTTGAAAATCAAAAGTGTTTGTCCTCAACATGTCTCTTTCAAAGCAGTTTGGTGAATTCTTAAAGCCAAGCAAAGTCGAAGCAGAGTCGAACTTATCCCGGTAACAAGAAATAAGGTGGAATCGTCTGGACGCAAATTGCCATGCCATACCCAAAACATGCTCTTCAAACGTTTTGACTTTACACTAAAATCAAGTAAAGCAATAATCCTCGCAGGTGAGCTGTAATTTGAGTAATTGCAGAAAAGAAGCAGAAAAATAGACCACAACAGAATTTGTGCCTCTCAGATACTAGATGGGCGCTGCTACTAACAAACTAGGAATCCACACGTTAGGAGCAATGAAAATTCTTTAGAGTTTTTCATTCCCGCGCAAAAATCTGAGCTTCATCTTCAAAGAAATGATTTTCATTTGACCTGCTGATGAAACTCAAGTAAAACGATAATCCTCGAAGGTGTGCCTCAATTTTTCTGGGTGTTTCAGCCTGTTCTCAAATAGGATTCGCAATTGTTGATTGTACAAAACTTAATCTTCGTTACTGGTAATTATTTATCGTCGTAGGGGAGGAGGTTGGGGGGGGGGTTTAATCGGCAGTCACTTTTGTACAGTTCCCCCTTTATACTTTGTTGGTGACGACTGATCCCTTCGGTTCCCCTTTAAAACAACGTAGTACTCCCCCCCCCCGAAAAATCCTCCACCTTTCCCCGATACAGATAATAGGTAAAGAGTCCATCTTAGTAATGACATCACGTCGAGAAAATTCTATTAGGCAAAAAGTCAATGATAGATTAAACTTGATCGCTTTATTTCGAAGTGTGTCGATATATGAGCTAATTAACCTGTCTTCATGTGTCAGTTATGGCTCGTTTAATTCATTCTGCATGTCCTCAATCTTCCAACTCACCTTGAAGCTAAATTCAGTGCAGTGTTTTTTTCTGATGCAAGGAAATATTGCAGTCCATGGAAATATTTTAAAAGAAGGTCAAAGAGTAGAACAATTATATATAGAGCCAAATGGTGTGAGGCGCATTGTGTTAATTTGATATGGCGTAGGCTGTATCTTAATAGTAGAAATCAATTATCTATAGCTAGTGAGCAAATAATTCACTAGAAAATAAATGCCAGCTCAGGTCTTTGAAATATTGGTGTCAGTAGAAAATAATAGTTTCTTTCCTTTTTACTTATTCAAGTCATTCTAAAAGACATGAAGATGAAATTTGAAATGAAAGGAAGTGTCAATGGGCATTACTTTGGGATCGAAGGAGAAGGGAAAGGGTAAGTGTAAGAGAGACCACAATGAATTATTTCATTACAATGCATTACGATTTATTCTAGCCACAGAGTTGAATATGATCATGCCGCTGTCGTCAAATCAGGGTCTGATATCACGGCACTAATGATTTTTTGACATTATCAAGAAGAGATTCAAACTTTTTTCGAAAAGCAAAGTGAACAAGATCAGAGATTCATAAAAAGATTTTCAGTCATAAACTATAGGCTTGTTTTTATTCGAGTTTGCAAATTACCTAGGGTCTTTGACATCGACTTCTTCATCTGCTTCCAGAAACAGGCGAGGTGTAAAGGCTACTGTAAAGCTCAGTCACGCCTAAATTCATCTGCAATACTTGAATTTCTTATAAGTAACATGAAAGGTTATGCAGTATTTTACTTACGTTTGAATTATCATGAGCATAAAATATTTGGTCCTCCCTAATTTTCGAATATTTCGGGTGATACATGAGCCGTTTTTGAAAATAGTTTTTAACACTCTTATCATCTTATTTTAGAGGAATACAAAGTTCGACTTTCTGGGTCACCAAGGGAGGACCCCTACCATTGTCCTTTGGCATACTGTCGTCAGCGTTCAAATATGGAAACAGATGCTTCACTAAATACTCTGACGACATGCCCAACTATTGTAAGCAAGCATTTTTAGCTGGAATGTCGTATGAAAGGACATTTACACTCGAGGATGGAGGCGTTGCCACAGCCAGTGGACATACTAGGTATAAAAGAGATGTTTAGCTTGGGATCGAGGAAATACTTTTTAAAAGAAAACTTCAAGGTCATTTTCTTTACACGGAGCAGGGAGCGCCCTTTTTTTATGTGTAACTGAGTTGTGATTCTCCCGAGAACGCTTCCTGTCTAGCTACAGGAGAAAAAAACTACAGAAAAAGCATAATGGCGAGAGAATATGCAGATTACGGGATTTGAAATAGGCTATTTTTGTTCCCACAAAAATTATATCCGAAATAGCTTTCGTGTAAAATTTAACGTTTTTCAGACTTCCTTTTCCTATCCTCGCCTCCCAGTTTAAACAGGAACGTGCAAACGATTTATTAATCTTTAGATCCTTCCTTTTTATATAACTGCGGTGAGTATATGCCTTAAGCATAAAGTAGACCATTGTGTCGTACATCTAGTTACTAAATGGATGACCACCTGACTCGTTTCGATGTAACAATTAGCTGTTAAGGAACTGTGCATTCCTAAGATGAGCCGGAAACGCACTTTGTGACAGTTCGCTTTTTTCTTGTTGGCTGCCTAATACCCTCAAAGATTTCGTAATATAGGATTTTCATCTAAAAGGAAATCGCAGTTATAAGGGATAAATACGTAACTGCTGTGTTTCCATACACCATGTTAGTCGGTTTTGCTGACACTGCTACTGTTAGTGAGGATTCAATTCAAGAACACAGTTGGCCACAAATCGTAAGTTGTCATTTTCTTATTTTTTTAGCACCGTGGGTGACTTTTAAAATTGCACACTAATATTAATGCCAAATGCGTCTTCGCCGGTATCACGCATTGAATACATATTTGAAATGTTTTCCTTGGCATGCATTCAATTTTACGACATTTCTTGGCTCCCAAACTCTCTCCACTAACAGAAATCTTGGATTGCCTGTTCACGATCGTCTTTCAATTTCAGAAACTTTCGGAAGTCCAGCCTAAATGCAGCGGTAAATTTTCATAAATACATTTAATAAAACAAAGAAAGGGGCGCGGTTATCCTGAAAAGGACTTCTGAAATCATCCCAGATAGTATTATCTCGTATACAAGTGCATAATTTACGCAAATCCCAGATGTTTTGGTCGCGAAGGGAAGAGCAGCTAAATGACGTCCGGTACTTGTTGGGGAGAACGGAAGTCGAAATAGAGTCATGTCCAGACTATGGGGCGCGTTCCCCCATCCGGTTGCAAAATCACTCTAATATAAAGATTTATACATAAACCTCGACAGATGATAAGTTCGGCATCTCAGTCCTGGCCAAATTATAAAGCCTTCGGCAAAGTCTAGCAAGATTCCTTCCTCAGCCGTTCCAATTTGAAACAGCCGTTCTTAATTGATCCTGGCACCTAAATGTGCGAGAAATGAATTCAAATGGTTTGAGTAATGGACGGACCACTATTTTTCTGGTGGGAGGGTATGAGATATATTGAAAAAATTGTTTGCAGGGTCTAAAAAGACAAAATAAAATGTTTACAAACTTGATAGGGTGAAAAAAAAAGTTGCAGAGAAGTCAGGTAAGATAATAAAAAACATAATGACCAAAACTGAAATAAAAATAATAAAGTTTTAATTTGAAGCATTAGTATAAAAATTAACACAATATGGGCATTAAAAATTGCTCACTCTGTATTAAGCAAATAACAAATCTGAAAATAGCTGAATATTTCTTGAAAAAATGGGAATTTATTGCGACAATTACATCTCAACGTTATTTGTCAACATTTTGTCCTACTACAAAACTTCGTATATCAGCTATGTTTCACTTTATTTGCACTCTCTACTCCACTCTATTCCAAGTTAATAAGGATTTGTTTTACCAGCGTATTACGAGAGTAGATAAATATTTTACTGCTGGAGAATTTGTTCTTGGCACATTACACTGGTTAGAGTTGTTTCCTCATAAAGTCGATCTTACCAAGTCTGTCGTTGACATATTTGGAGATGAATTTGACTTTTTCATTTCCGCGATGACTAAAGTACCTGGTACATCATTCAAAAGTGTTTGCATTAACAACACGTGTTCAAAGCCCAAATTATTGTCGAAGTCTTCGGAAACATATACTTCCGTCTCAGGAGTCCTATAACTCTCTCAACGTGAATCCTCACACTGGCAATTCCCCGTGATTGCTCCACATCAACTGGATCCAGTTGAGCCTTTCCCTTTGCAAAGACATGAATTACAAGTTTGCTTTATCCTAACACCATACTTTCAGAGATAGTAAAACCTCTGTCTGCCACAACTGTGTCTCCTGGTAATAATTTGTATAAAATTCCACAGTTCTCTGAAAGAAATTTGTTAGAGGTACGTCCACCCCAAGCCTCTGAAACAAAAGACACTGAAGAAATACACTCCTCGTTGCTTGACACGGTTTTAATTATCGTACAACGATGAAGCAGTCCTACGATACAAATAACAACAAAACTATACCAAAATACAGTCTTTATAAGCTCACAATAAAAACGATGCATATACTTAGAGATGATATGCAATGTAAGATGGCTAACTTACAATGATAAAGCGGTAAGTAGAGTCCCGATCCAACGTAGATGGAGAAATAATATTTCCTCGAACGTAACAAGAACGTAAACACAAAATGGTTAACTCCCTTGAACCGGTCAGTGGTTATGATAGCTCCTAAAAAAACATTGAAGATTCGTCTATCTCTTTGCACACTCATTTTGTTATCCGTAAGACACGCGTGCCATATTGCACGCACGTCTTTTCGCACGCGTGTCACATCGCACATGGAGCGTGACATCTAGCACAATAGTTGGGACAAAGGCTTGAGCATGCCACACAAAAGCTGCCGTGGCAGTATTTGTTTGCTTATTAAATATGAGTACATTCATGGCATTGGTAAGACGCTTAGCGTGCCTTATTCCCGTTTTTCGCGTGGAGGGTCACAAATGTTCTTTTTTGATTTATGAACTCTGCCTTTTTTTTGCGATGCTTCAATCAGTTTTTTATAAAAACAGGCGACTTAACTCAACACATTATGAGTTTGTAGCTTAAAATAAACGATCGCTTTCATTATTCTTGTATAACCGAAGTTTTATGGTGCGTAGTTTGCATAATGTGTGTAATAGAAAATCACTCTTTTCACCGAAGAAATCTTCCTCAACTTATATCAAATCTGGTTACAGACCTAGATGAATAAGGAGAAAATATTAATCAGTTTTTTTTCAAATATCTTTTCAAGTAGCTTGAAATTGTTCCCTTTCTCTTTTTCTTTTAGCTAAGGAAGAATTTTTGGATGCGTAGCTTTGACACTTTGTGCAATAAAATGACAGAACTGATAACTATTTCGTCAAAACAGTTTTGAAAAGCCCAATGCCATTATTTTTTCCGCACTAATTTTAAGTGCTCTAGTGAACCCTCTCGGTTGATCCAAGTAGAAATATTATTAAGTGTGTGTTGAATCGGGTCAGAGAAAAATAAGACGAGAATAACAGATCAGTTATTTTCAACTATTTCTTCAAATGATATGAGATCGTTGACCGTCTCTTTCATTAAGAAACAGTTTTGCGGTCAAGCCCATTCAAATGCACTCGGTCGGATCAAAACACATTTAAGGAGTTATCTTTTAACTTTTAGCAAGCAGGAGACAATGTAAGGTTAACCCAAAGAAGACGAATACTGCTGAAAAGTTCTCTTCACTTCTGAAACATTCAGTCTACTTGGTAAGTGCTGTGGAGGTCGGCTAAATGGCCCTAACGAAGTAGGGGATTTTTTCGCCCGATCCCGGGAAAAAGCAAGGAATATTGCTGCCCATGCTATATTTCCACTCCCATAGATGCTCGCATGTAGTGGAAACGATAGAGCCAGCGCTTATTCTTGTGGCACTGCTTTCCCCTGATACCACAATTTCGTGTCCGTATTTGCAGGGTGCCCGGTCAAAAATCACCTCGATATGTACTCGTGTAGCATACCTTTCGTCAACCAATTGCAGTACACATTTCGAGTTCGCATATATATACCTTTTAATCCAGGGGATTCCAATAAAGATGCAAAGGAAAAGTGCTATTTGAGTCACATTCTGAGCAGTCTCAAAAATCGTTTTTAGCGATCTTGTTTACATTTGTTTTCACTTCCTAACCGTTGCTTTTTTTGCGTAAACGATCTGAATGTAAAAAAGAAAAAAGGGGAATAGGAGCTTCTATTTGGCTTCCTCAGTATGTTCTCTTTGGTA